AGTTCTTTAATCCATTTTGAGTTGGTTTTGTTGTATGGTGTGAGGTAGTGGTCAAGCTTCATTCTTTTGCATGTAGCGGCCCAGTTTTCCCAGCACCATTTATTGAACAGACTTTCTTTGCTCCAATGCATAGTCTTTGCTCCTTTGTCAAAGATTAGTTGACCATAAATCTGGGGTTTATTTCTGGATTTTCTATTCATTCATTGGTCTGTATGTCTGTTCTTGTTCCAATACCATGCAGTTTTGATGATTATGGCTTTGTAGTTACAGTTTGAAGTCTGGGATTGTGATACTTCCATTCCCTTCTTTTCTTTTTAGGAGAGCTTTTACTATTCGGGGTTTTTGGTGATTCCATATGAATAGAACAATAATTGTTCTATTTCTTTGAAGAATGTCATTGAAATTTTTTTGGAATAGCATTGAATCTGTATATTGCTTTTGGTAGGATGGCCATTTTAATAATATTTATTCTTCCAATCCTTAAGCAGGGGATGTCTTTCCATGTCTTTGTGTATTCTTCTATTTCTTTTAACAGTGTTTTGCAGTTTTCCTTGTATAGGTCCTTTACCTCTTTGTTAGATTTATTCCCAAGTATTTGATTTTTTTGTTTCGATAATAAAAGGGATTTTTTTTTTCGATTTCTTCTTCTTCAGATTTATTGTTTGTGTATAGGAAGGCTACTGACTTTTGCGTGTTGCTTTTGTATCCTGCCACTTTACTGAACTGATTGATGAGTTGAATTAGTTTTTTCTGTGGAGTTTTTGGGGTTCTCTATGTATATTATCATATCATCTGCAAATAGTGATAGTTTGACTTCTTCTTTTCCTATTTGGATTCCTTGTATGTCTTTCTCTTGTCTTATTGCTCTGGCTAGGACTTCCAGTATTATATTGAAAAGCATTGGTGAGAGTGGACATCCTTATCTTGTTCCAGATCTTAATGGAATTGCTTTCAGCTTTTCACCATTGAGAATGATACTGGCTGTTGGCTTGTCATAGATGGCTTTATGATGTTGAGGTATGTTCCTTGTTACCCAAGAATTTCAAGGGCTTTTATCATGAATGGGTGTTGCACTTTGTCGAAAGCTTTCTCAGCATCTATTGATATTATCATATGGTCTTTATATTTCTTTTTGTTGATGTGTTGGATAACATTGATTGATTTTCAGATGTTGAACCATCCTTGTGTCCCTGGAATGAATCCTACTTTGTCGTGGTGAATTACCTTATGGATACATTGTTGGATTCTGATAGCTAAAATTTTATTGAGGAGCCTCCCCGGTGGCGCAGCAGTTGAGCGCTGAGTTGCGAAAATGCCCTTAGTCTCTGCAGCGCTGGTTCGATCCCTGGCTGCTCCCTGGCCCCCGGAGGAGGGTCCCACATGGCGTGCAGACCTTTCATGCTGCCCACTGCTCCCCTCAGCAGTGTACTTCGGTCCTTCTGCCTGCTCTGCTTCACCCTGTGGCTCTGGTGAATTCTCTCACCCTCCTGCGCTTCTGACTGTACCCAGTGGTTGTATAAATCAGTCAATCAAAAATCTTAAAAAAAAAGATTTAAAATTTTATTGAGGATTTTTGCATCAGTGTTCATTAGGGAGATTGGCCTGTAGTTTTCCTTTTTTGTGTTGTCCTTGTTCGGTTTTGGTAATAGTGTAATGTTGGCTTCATAGAATGTGTTTGGTATTGTCCCTTCCTTCTCAATTTTTTGGAAGAGTTTGTGAAGGATAAGCACTAATTCGTCTTTGAATGTTTGGTAGAATTCATTTGTAAATCCATCAGGTCCTGGGCTTTTTTTTTTGGGGAGGTTTTTGATTACCATTTCAATTTCGCTGCTTGTAATTGGTCTGTTTAAATGTTCTATTTCTTCTTTATCTAGCTTTGGGTTATTGTAGAGTTGTAGGAATTTGTCCATCTCCTCTAGATTGTTGAACTTGTTTCCATATAACTGTTCATAGTAGTTTCTGATTATTCTTTTGATTATTGCTGTGTCTGTTGTGATTTCTTCTCTTTCATTTATGATCCTGTTGATTTGTGCTTTCTCCCTTTTTTCCCTTGTGAGCCTGGCTAGGGGTTTGTCTATTTTATTTATTTTTTCGAAGAACCAGCTCTTGGTTTCATTGATCTTTTGGATTTTTTTTTTTAGTTTCAATTTCATTTATTTCTGCTTTGGTTTTTATTATTTCTTTTCTTCTACTAGTTTTGGGGTTTTTTGTTGTTGTTTTTCTAGATCTTTGAGCTTCGAGATTAGGTTGTTTCTCTCAGTTCTTTCTTGTTTCTTGATGTGAGCTTCTATTGCTATATATTTTCCTCTTATTACTGCTTTTGCTGCATCCCATACATTTAGGTATTGGTGTCCTCCTTGTCATTCAATTCAAAGAATTTTTTAACTTCTTCTTTGATCTCCTCATTATTCCAGTGGTCATCCAGTAGGTTGTGTTTCGATCTCCATGAGGTAGGAGAGTTCCTTGCCTTCTTTTTATCATTTGTTTCTAGTTTGATGCCTTCGTGGTCAGAAAAGATGGTTGGTATGATTTCAATCTTGGTGTATCTGTTGATGTTTGTCTTTTGTCCTAGTATGTGATCGATCCTGGAGAATGATCCCTGTGTGCTTGAGAAAAATGTGTACTCAGATTTTTTGGGGTTTAGTGTTCTATAGATGTTTGTTAAGCCCAAGTGCTCTAGTCTTTATTTGGAGCTTTTCTGTCTTTACTTATTTTTTGTCTGATTGATCTTCCATTGTTGATAGTGGTGTGTTGAAGTCTCCCACTACATATGTATTTTCTCTGATGTCTTTTTTCAAAGATGACAATAGTTGTGTGATATATGTTGGTGCTCCTTTGTTTGGTGAGTATATGTTAATGAGTATTATTTCTTCTTGAAGTAATGTCCCCTTGATCATAATGTAGTGAGTGCTGGGGTCTCTTTTTACCTTTTAAGTTTGAAATCTTTTTTATATGATATGAGTATAGCTGTTCCTGCTTTCTTTTTTGGTCCATTTGCTTATAGGATTGTTTTCCATCCTTTCACTTTGAGTCTATTTTTATCTTTTGTAGTTAAATGTGTTTCCTGGAGACTGCAAAAGGTTGGGTTTTGTACTTAATCCAGCCAGCGACTCTGTGTCTTTTTGGCCTTTCATTGTTATTTGTCCCTCTGAGGTTCTGGGTTTAGGACTCCTTGAAGTAATTTTTGGAGTGGGGGTTTAGTCGTAATGAAATTCCAGAGTTTTTGTCGGGAAGGTCCTTATTCTTTCTTCATAGAGGAAGGAGAGCTTTGTGCGATAGAGTATTCTTGGTTGGCATCTGTTTTCTTGGAGTCTGTTGACTATGTCCCTCCACTCTCTCTTTGCCCATAGTGTTTCTTCAGAGAAGTCTGATGTCAGCCTTATTGGCTTTCCTTTGAATGTTATCTGTTTCTTCCCTCTTGTCAGCTTGATTATTTTTTCCTTGTCTTAGCTTCTTGGGAGCTTTACTATTATATGTCTTGGTGTATTTTTCCTTTCATCATGGAAGTTTGGTGTTCTTCTTGCTTCTTTGTAAACCAATTTTCAGCTCCTCCTTCACGTTTGGGAAGTTCTCTTCAATTATTTTCTTGAATATTTTCTCTGTTCCTATATCTCTCCTCTCCTTCTGGGATCCTATAACTCTTATATTTCCTTTCCTATAACTCGTTTATTTCCTCATGGAGTCAGATAGTTCCTGAAGTCTTTCTTCAGTCTTTTTCCTTCGTACTTCTCTTTCCTTTTCTGTTTTGGTTCTTTTTATTTTTGTGTCTTCAAGAGTACTTATTCATTCTTCCATTTAATCTATTCTGCTTTCATTGCTTTTCCCAGAATTCTTTATGCAAGCACTGGGTACAGTCAGAAGCATAGGAGGGTGAGAGGATTCACCAGAGCCAGAGCTGGGAACAGAATAGGCAGACTGACGAAATACACCACTGAGGGGAGCAGAGTG